TTTCTCCCTTCACTTTTATTCAATTATATTTCTTTCTATCAAGGTTTTATTAATTCTCAATCAAACAAACAAACAAAATACAAAACATAAAACAAGACATAGAAACATAAAACCTCTTTTCTGAAAGCTACTTGTAGATTTTGACAAAACAAATAAGACATTCTTTTATACAACATAATTCCAAATTATCATTTGTACATATCTTTTCCAAATGTCTCATTGTTTCTCCCTTTATTTTTATTCCTCCAAGGTTTTATTAATTCTCAATCAAACATAGCTAACAAAACACAAAACATAAAACATAAAACTTCTTTTTGGAAAGTGGCTTAACCCCAGGTTACATCTTTTTTTACAGACCTAAATCAAATTCATGCTCACCTTATATACCATTCTTATCTTATTTACCATTCTGTATTTTCTATATAACTTCTCCCTTCTTTTCACTCTCTTAATTATATTTTATTTATTTCATCTTATTTTAAAATCATTATACTTGTATCTTTTGTCCGTTCTTTTCCAATTATCTATTTATCTCTTCTCTTTAACAGAAAATTTCCCCTGTAATCACTTTTAAAGTGTGACGCCTTTCTATCTTTTCCCTAAATAGACACTTAGAATAATACATAATTTCCATTCTGATTCTGCTTAGTACATTCTACCTGTTGCATTTTAAAATAAAAGAATAATAAATTTATAATATAGTTAAATATATAATTTCCATTCTAATTCTAATTCTGCTTAATACATTATTTTAAAATAAGAAAATGAAATAATAAATTTATAATAACATTAAGACAATAACAAATTAAACTATAACTAAACATTAATCATTTTACACATTCTCTTTAATATTTTATTGAGTATTGAAATCTATCATTATTAAACATTTTAATATTTTATTAAATCTTATAATATTCCAGTACACTATTTCAAATGCAAATACTACAATACTATTTTATGTACTCTTGCAGAATCTTTCTTTAATTATGCTTTACCCTTTATCTCTGAAAAAGATCTGCTTTTTGGCATCTTGTTTCAAGCCTTTGTGGCTTTTTTCCCCTTTTTCCCTCCCTTTCTTCTCCTGTCTGGCCTTTTTGCCGTCTCCCCCTCTCCTAACCTCCGTCTTTTTAACTTCCCCTCTCTGTTGTATTTCTCTTTTCTGTTGCTTTCTAACATTGTACCTTTTTTTCACCTTATTTTTCTCTTTCTTGGTTGTTTTGTTAAATCTTAAATTCTCAATTTTCCTTCGCCTCTTCCTATTTTCTTTCTTAGTTGAACTTTTTTGTCCATTAAAGATGGCTTCTTCCTCTTCTTCTTCTCCTTCTTCCCCATGTAGTTGCTGATAAGTAGAAATCGCCATTTCTAAAAAGTGGAAGACAGCTCCCAAAGAATCCTTGCCTTCTTGTTCTCCTTCCTTTAATTTTTCATATTCCATTTTTAATTCATCCACAGATAGTGCCATTGTAAAGCTTTTTCTTCTTCTTCTTTTTTTTAAGAACAACCCAAATGTTTTTAATCTTAAAGTAATTTCCAAGCGTTCCAAAGTTATCAAACAATCCAAACAGACAAAATATTTCCTCTTCTTCTCTTTGCACTTTCTCCTCCTGGGGCAAAATCCCAAAATATATTTTAAAGCCTTATTACAGTTAATTTCTGGTCTTGTAATCTTCAAGGCGTGTTATGCCTCACCTGTATCCACAGGTGAGCAATCACAATTCTGAAGTTCCAAAAATATAAGCAACCAAAAACAAACCCCAACCAAGATAACTGTTGAAGTTTTTCCAGTCCTCAGCAGTAATTCCGATATCTGTTTGGCAAACCTGAAGTGCTTATAAATCACAATCCTTCAGAGAATCTTCACAGGACTTTCGCTCTAACAAGACACTTTGCTTCTGTCAAATTTCTCAAGCCAATCCGTTTCCTTTTATCCCCTAAGGGGGCGTGTTAGTCTCATTAATTAATCATTGGCTCAACGCCTCTTTCCCAATTGAGATTGACGTCTCAATCTCCGTCTATTTCTCACATCAAGCCAGGATCCCTCAAATTTCTCCTTGCCTGAAACCTCTCGCACGTTTTCCTGATTATCTGCCACCGGCTGCTGCGTAATCAGAGAGGGAGACTCGGGGGAGGTAGAAGACTCTGACAGCTCCAATAAATTAGGTTAGTCTCTCATAGCCAAGTCCACTTCCTCATCCTGGCTACCCTCAAAATCACTCAGCAATGGAGGCTCAAATCTCACTGCCAGATCCTCTTCACTCGAGCTCACATCTGCCAACGGAACAGATTCAAATCCCGGAGTCACAACAAATTATCCACATTTTCTTTTTTTCAAACCTAAATAAATCTGGTGTCTTATGAGCCAAGACTTTATCAGTTTGTATTTGGAAACAACAACAAAAAAAAAAAATTGGGAGCAAATACATTCCTAGGACTGCAACATGCTACAGTTGACATAAGGTGCTTGGAATTTGTCCTTGAAGCAACAAGAGTAGAAACCTCATGTTGCTGGAGAATCTTTTGCCTGCTAACATTAAACATGTGCACCAAAGCAACATGGGCTCCTCAGAGACCAAGATACTAATCTTGTTCTCATGAACATATCCTCATGTCTTCACTTTTTTCTCCTGCCAGCTGAAGAGCCAAATGGAGGCAAAGAAGGTGTTTGAAAACTTCACAGAGGGAGATGTCATCTTCCAGCCCACCTACAAATACAAAATTAGCTCGGACGAATGGGATACCAGGTGTGGGGCAGAGGAAGAGCAAGCAGACAGGGCGGGAGGGTGGAAACGTATTCTTCCAAGGAAACTGTAAAGATTTTGAGTTATTTCAGTCTTTGCAACGGGAGAGAGAGAGCATACCCATACATCCATTTCCTTACTTACTTACTTTCCTTACTTAATTAATTTGTCAAAATTATATGTCCCCCATCTAATGAGTGTACAAATACTAAAAACAACATATACAAAGATTATTATTTTAAAACAAGTTTGAAACAATAAAAAGCACAATGTTAAAATAGAAAAAAAGACATAAAGCTAATATGCAGAAAAATATCAGGCAAAGAAAAAATGTTAATTATAATGGAGCCATTGCAATATTTCAACAATTACCTTCGGTCCTCAGATTTTGAGGGACCTTCAGAAAGTCAAAAAGATGATGCCAACCTCCTTTGGGAACAAGGGAGGATATCCCACTGTTGAAAGGCTGTCAAAATGCCTTTCTTCTGAGGATTTGATTTTCCCGCTGGGAAAGCTCTGGCGCAAGGATACGGACAACTGCTTGAAAGCTGGATCTTTTTATTTTTCAGGAAGGCGAGAGATAGCAAGAAGTCTGCGTTCCTGGGCTAGCTACCTTCGAATGGTAAGTCCCTGATTTTTATACCCTTTTCTCCTTTTGTGTGAGTGCTTTTGTTTGTATTTCTTAATGTTTTAAATCCTGTCAGGGGTTGTCTTTCTTCCCTCTGGAGGGTAAACTCCGTGGGGTGCGGAAGGCAAACTTTGCGGGGTGGTTTGATTGTTTTATCGGTTCGTCCTAATCTTTTTTAGCTTAATGGTTTCTTATATTTGTTTTGTGGCAATCTCCAGTCTGTCTCCTTTGTAATATATTTTGTGTCTTTTGTCTGTTTGTTTGCTGATTTGGCATGTCTTGTGTTTTTAAGGGTTTTCTTTTCTTGTTTCCCTAGTTTTCTTAATTATTTGGGCTTTTGTCTAAGGGGCTTCTTTAATACCTTTTATTTGATTCCTTTTCCTATGCAAGTTTGTTTTATGGCTGGCCTGATGTTCCCTTTGTGCTTTTCCTGCTTGGGTGACACCACTATCCTCATGAAGTTCCCTTTCCACACCAAAATGTGGGGGCCATGACAGAAAAACCCAACTGCCAACGACCCACCAAACGTGGTTCCCTAGCCAATACAGCATGTATTTTCTACTGGACCTGATATAAATTGTGGGAGGCGGTCCCTCAAATAACCCAATCCCATATCATGCAGGGAAATTTTATTCAATCATTATTATTGAACAGCCTTTTTTCATTGAATTCAAGGGCTGTTCTCCCTTCCTAGAATCCACATAAAACTAACCAGTCTCTGTCTTGAATCAAGGGTGTGACGGTTGTGACGGAAAGGTGGTAGCTTTTTCCACCTGTCTTCCTGCTATTCTCCTCCAGGACATTATCCAGAAGGGGGAAACACCCACCCACCCTGATCTATGCACATGACTTCCCATCCTTAATTTTAATGGCCTTTGAAGAACTTGCTTACCATGGCCTTAATATCTAACCAACAAAGAATTACAAGCGGGCAGGCCCATAATATCACCAAGTTTCTTCAAATGTATTAGCACAGAAGTGATAGCCTTTTAAAACATTTTTTCAAGAGTCCAGGAGACCCTGAAGATATTTTTTTTGCACAACTAGTATTCAATTTTAATTTTAAAGAATTTTAGTGACATATACATTTATATTCCATAGCCACTCATGCTATAATGCAGGATGATCCAGCTGTCTGTTCCACATTTCTTATATATTGCACAAATGTTGGTAATAATAAATTGGGTTAGTTTTAGACAAAGGCCTTCTCCACTGTACTCACTGCTTTGAATCTTTCAAAGGCCACATTAGGACTAAACAGTGCAGAGAAAGGATTTTGATTCAGCCATTCTATGTATATTATATTCTTTTTGGAGAATCTCAGAAGGTCCTAAGGTTTCACTACTTAATCGTTGATTGAGCTGGTTGGGAACCTCTTTCCCAGAAAAATGTTTTACCAGCTTGTTTTGCCCCAAAGCATAAATCTCTCATACAAAGAAAATTTAAATTTAAATTTTCTACCCAGTAAGACCCAGATATGTCCAGCTATTTTCAATGGCTGACAGATAAAAACAGATCATGCCAAACATTATTGCCTCCTTTAATAAAATAATTGGATTAGCCTATCGGGGAAATGCTTATAGTAGACTTCAGTAAGACATTTGACAAAGTAGACCAGTATCTTCTCGATAAGGTAGAATAATATGGGATAGTCTATACCAGGGATCCCCAACCTTTTCGACGCCGCGGCCCGGTTCCGACATCAGCTGGGCGCCGCGGCCCGGTACCGGCGTCAACTGGGCGCCGCCATCTTTTTATGACGAAAAGGCGCTTCCGGTGAACTTTCTACCCGGAAGCGCTTTTTTACCAAAAAAAAAGATGGCGGCGCCCAGCAACCAGCGGCCCGGTAAGGGTTGTTCCGCGGCCCGGTACCGGTCCGCGGACCGGCGGTTGGGGACCCCTGGTCTATACCATTGACAGATGGATTCACAATTAGTTCACCAACCATACTCAGTGTGTAATCCTTAATGAAATGACTTCAACATGGAGGGAAACATGTAATGGGGTATCCCAAGGTTCTGTACTAGGGACACTGCTCGCCATTATCTTCATAAATAATCCAGATGAGGAGATTGAAGGGGCCCTCCTCAAATTTGTAGACAACACAAAGCTGGGGGGAATTGCTAACACTTTAGAAGATAGACTCAAGATTCAGAAGATTTGAGCATTAGGCCCTAGCCAGCAAGATGCATTTCTTTTATGAGAACTGTGAGAGAGATGTAGATGTAGATTGTGATTCATTTACAAAATAACCGATATGGAGGAGCTGTTTAAAAAGCCAGTGCAAGACTCATCAATGGAGAGAGCATCAACAATACGTCAAGTGATACTACCACTTTATGCTGCACTAATGAGGCCACACTTGAAATACTTCATTCAATTCTGGTCATAATACAAAAAAGATGTTAAGAGCCCAAGAAAGAGTGGAGGGAAGAGCTGATAAAGGATCTGGGGGCTAAATGGTATGATGAATGATTAAGGGAACTAGATCTGTCTAGTCTAACGAAGAGAAGGATTAGAGGTAACATGATACCCTTCCAATACTTGAAGGGCAGTCACACAGAAGAGCGGTTTGACTTATTCTCCAAAGCACCTGAGGGCACGGCAAGCATTGGTCTCAGGTGGTATAAGGTCTCCTGTCTTGGGTAGGGGTTGGACTAGACTTCCCAAGGTCCCTTCCAACCCTATGATTCTGTGATTCAGTGCTGGGAAAGTAACCAAAGTCCTATTTAGTCCTAAGCAGTGCCTTGCCTGAGGGGGGTTTGCAGCGGAGGAGGCTCCAGGAGCAGTTTCTGTGGCTTGGATTTGGGAGACAGGGAGGTCTGTAGCTTGAGCCACCCCCACCCCCCACATCCTCCCCTTCAGTGAGGTTGCAGCACTCTCTGCCCATTCCTTTGATTAGCAAAAAACAATAGTTTGAGCTGGACAGCCTTATAAATCTTGTTAATAAATAATTTTTAATTTTAAAAAAATGCTTTTGTATGATAACTATATATAATGGTTGGGAGTTACACAGAGTTGTGGGTCTAAGATGGGTGGCCATACAAACCCTTTAAATTAATTAATTAACATATAATTGAAGCATCATTGGGGGTGTGATTTGCTTACAAAATGACTATTTGTGGGGCCCAGAAACTGCAAGTCTCAGCCCTTCCAAAATGGCCAGTGAGGTGCCTCAGACCACTCACAATGAAGATTGTTGGAGGAAAAAAAGGGAAAGTACACCAGAACAAGCAAGGGTAATTTTAAGGCTGCCTCAGATAAGGGTTGTGGGAGAGGAAGAAAACCACATTCTAGAAGAAGAGGTTTCTGGTGCAAGTCTGCCAGGGACGAAGTGCCAGGGGGAAATGTTGGTGGAGTTACACTGAGCTGGTAGGCAGATGCTGCTTCTGATTTTCTTGCAGCGAGCAATATGGCACCTTTGCCTGGTGTGACCGAATTCTCTTCAAAGGGGAGACTATCTCTCAGCTGGCCTATTGAAGCCACCTGTCCTTGAGGAACAGCAACCACAAACCAGTCAGTGCTGTGTTTGATATTGCGGTAGGTTGACATAGGCTCAGCTCAGCACCTCCCATCTTCCTGGACCCTTGTTGGCATCTTTTGTTCCTCACAGTCCTCAGTTTTGCAGGCTGGCATAGTCATTCAGTCTGGCCACCAAGGCTTCAGGGTCTTTTGCTGTTACATTCTGCCCACTTACATGCACTCAAGTTGCTGCTTTGCTTTTCTTCATGGCATTTTGGTAACCTTGGTAAACCCAAGGATCCCACCCCTTTGTTGCATTTAACACAATGAGAGTGCCATCCTCCTCAAGAAGGACCCTTGAAAGCCATGGAGTTTTGCTAAAGAAGGGCATTAGCTTGTCATTGACTCACTTTTGTTCATCCAGTAGATTCCAGGCTATAAAATGCAGCAAATATACAGTATAATAAAACATCAAGGTATGCAACAAATTAGCCATAACATGAGACTGCAACTCAGAATCCTGAGCAAAATAAAACAGTTATGCTTAAAGAACAAAATATCTTGACCAAGCTAAGGTGGGACTCTGATAAGGAAGTAGAGAAAGTGCCAGGTACCCTTCCAGTCCCCATCACCACAGAAAATCTTCTTCAGGTTGCATAGAAGAAAAGCTGTAAGAGAACCTTTTTGAATAGGGGCAGGTTGGCTCTATTCCCTTGAGATGGATGCAGTGGCCACCTCTATGGCCTGGTTCTTGTGGCTTAGCTTCTATGGAAGGTGATTGTGGTAGAATCTGAAGCTGAAGTGAGCGGAGGAGTTAAGAGACCTGTTAATCTGGAAGAGTTTAGGGGGAGGAAGCAGCAAAAAGCAGACCCTCCCTAAACCTTGTGGTGCTTATCTAATAGCACTTAGCAGACGTACTTAGACTTATATACCTCTTCATGGTGTTTTCCAGTCCTCACTAAGTTAGCATATTGCCCCAAACAATCTGGGACTTAATTTTACTCACCTCGGAAGGTTAGAAGGCTGGGTCAACCTTGAGCCAGTCAGGATCAAATTCCTGACAGTGGGCAGACTTAGCCTGCAAATACTGTGTTCTAACCACTGCACCACCACTAGCAGTTTCTCTAGTGATGGCATTAGGCCACCAAGAGTCCAATTACTAGGCAAGTAGCCATAAACATACCATTTTGACCAGCTACCCGTGTCATCTTGATTCCTTGTGCTGGACAGTAATGCTGATAATTTTGCTGGTACTGATTGTGACTACATACTATATGTCCCTTCTAGGTGAAAATGGTGGATGAACAGCTCTACCACAAGGTCTTTGAGGAAACTGTGAGCTCCATGGACAAGAGGGAGAATGCCAGCATCCCATCAGTAACTCTCTCCAAGAGGGAGGTAAAACAGTGCAACCCAAACAGAGACCAGGCTTAATAGCAGTAACTGAGAGGGATCTTGGAGTCTTAGTGGGCAACTAATTATATATGAGCCAACAGTATGCAGCAGCAGCCACAAAAGCCAATGCAATCCTAAATTGCATTAACAGAGGGGTACAATCAAAATCAAGTGAGGTATTAGTATTGCTCTATAAAGCCTTAGTAAGGCTAGACACCTAGATACATCTAGTAACACCTACAGTATTGCACCCAGTTTTGGTCACCACACTATAAAAAGATGTTGAGACTCTAGAAAGAGTGCAGGGAAGAGCAACCAAGATGAATAAGTGATTGGACACTAAAACATATGAAGAACAGTTGCAGGAATTGGGCATGGCTAGTCTTGTGAAGAGAAGGACCAGAGGAGACATGATGGAAGTCTTCCAATATTTGAGGGGCTGCCACAGAGAAGAAGAGGCCAATCTATTTTCCAAGGCACTTGAAGGCCAGCCAAGGAATAATGGATGGAAACTGAACAAGGAGAGATTCAACCTAGAAATAAGGATAAATTTTCTGACAGTGAGAACAATCAACCAATGGAATAGAAGTTGCCTTTGGAAGTTGTGGAAGTGGGCGGTGGGGTGGACTAGATGATCTAAAGGTCCCTTCCAACTTTGTTAATCTGTTATCTGAGAGACAGCTTAGCACAGGAGCTGAATTCAGGCAGGAGTGGTCCCTCAAGAGACCATTGGATCAAGGCAACTTTGCTTAGCTGTAGAACTGGGAACTTGATCTGCTATATTGTTCAAAGAACAGTAAGGTCTAGTTATCTGCCCAAAACATTCTTTAAGAATAATAAATAAATAATTTAGAATAAATTTTCTTCTAGTTGTAGAAATTCAGAAATGAGGGAGGCAGTAAAATCAAGGGATTTAATCCAATATTGATATTTATCCTGACCTAAACAAAAATACCACCATCAATGACAAATCAGAATGAGAAGCTATAGGGTTTAGAAATGATGGAAAATATTTATAACTCGGGTGGTACATGTTGGTGGCGGGGTTTCTGTTTAGTTTCAGGTTGTCTTAGCTTCATGTCAGGTCTGCTTCCCTTCAGATCCTAAGAAAGAAAACTTCTGACTCCATTGATTTAGAGAAGAAGTGCTTTTATTAAGAATTAACTGATAGCAGCAAAAGCAAGGCAAGATCGGGGAAAGGCAAGATCTGCATGAAACTTTCACATTGAAAGTCACCCCAAATCCCTTCCCCCAGGGTCCAGTACAGAAAGACCAATCAGCGTCCAATATGATATTATGGGAAAAGCTCTGCAGGTGTTGTGTGCTCTGGAGTCCCAGGATGGTTGGCCTTGGAAAAGTCCAAACAACTCTACCAGCAGCACAGTTCATGAGTGCAAACCTCACTTCCAATTCTCACAGGAACACTTCACAACAGCTCTCTGCTCCACCCCAAATGCCAACTCCCATCCCCCACCCCTGTTTCTATGGCACCTGAGAGCAAGCAAGCTGCAAACCGCATGCTGGCGTTCTGGCTGACATGAACGTTTCATCACCAGGCTAGGTGACATCCTTGGTGGGACTTCAGTTTATGTTTCAAACCAAAATTCCTCTGAGGATGTCACCTGGCCTGGTGATGAAATGTTCAGAAGCTAAACAAGAAGCTGTAGTGGGTGCCTGGAGAAAATACGATTTACACCAGTATCATTTCAGTAGTTCAAGGGTGGATCTATCTATAGCAGCTGAACTGAATTGTGGGTCTTTATTCTATTCTTCTCCATCTCCAGTTCTTTTTCAAAGATTTGAAATTTCTGCAGCTACAGGTGGACTTCTTCATCATCCACAATGGGCCAACCCCTTGCCAGTTTGAGTTCATCTGCAAGCCACATGAAAGCAGCTATTGCAAGCCATGGTTAACAGCAAAACCCAGCAAGGGTTTCTTGTTATCAGGTGACTTGATGGTTGTAGTATGTGCGTGTACCTGCATGTTCTGCTCCAATTTATGTTTGTGCTAGAAAGAAGCAGTCTGCGGATTGCTGTTTGGTCTTGGGTTTGAGAACATGCAATTCATTCTCTGCAATCTTTTTCCCTGAAAAGGTGGTTGTATGAGCACCAGACTTGAATAACTTTTATTTGTTTCAACTTGCACCACTTTGATTTCTGGTCTATATTTCTGACCTTAGATAGTGTTTTGTGCAGCCCATTGCTTTTATTAGACCTCTGATATTTTTAATCCCAACCAGATAATCAATTGGATCAGTTTCTTATATTTTGTGTCTGGAATATTTCAATATTTTGATGAGGCTATAGTCCGACTTTGCTAAAAAGTTGATCTTTGATCATCTGATCTTTCTTTCTAAATCTTCAACAACTCTTTCCACCTGCTTATGAGATCTGTGTGAAATTTTCAGTCGTGGTGTTCTTAGTTTACATCTTCTCTCTTGAGATGCTGAGGTAACTGCTGAGTTGGAAGTGTTTGTGAATAAATCAACAGCATCCCATTTAAACTCTGGAGAAGACCAACTGGAAGACGTCTTAGTTTTACATCTTGACCAGGGCAAGGATTATTTTTTATCTGTGACAGGAAATTATCTCCCCAGCTGCTTTGGGACCCCCATACATGCTTTCATTCACATGAGACAACCCATCCAAGATATATTGCCAGAAACCATCAAGAAGCTGGTGAGATCTTATTGTCATGGTACTGCTCTTCTACCTTGTAATACCCCCATTTGCGCAAATGTTGTTTTTATCCAGACACTGATGCCATTGTGGTCAGGAGATGATTTCTTCTGGGATGAGAAGCCCTTGGACTTACCCAAGGAGTTGTGGATGATGGTGGACCATCTGTACCATAATGCTTGCCAAAAGGTGGGTACTCATCTGAGTCTGAGTCTATACATCCTTAATTGTGATAGAAGTATCCTGTTTCAATAGGCAGATATTTAATTCTGAAGTCAAGGATAGAAAAACAATATTGGGAATGTTTCTATAGATTATTTGACTCAGCCCTGTTCCTTACAGGTAGTACTCATTTAGTGACCACAGTTGTGCTGGCAGCTCAGTCATTAAACAAAGTATTCACTGTGAACTGTGCTTATGAACTTACTTCATCTTTCCTTTGCTTTACAGATCTGTGAAAGTTGTAAATGTAAGGATTGGTCACAATTTTTTTAAAATCTCTGTCATATCTGTGAAAGGTTGCTAAATGAGGCAGTTCTAAATGAGGACTACCTGTATTACAGTTTCATGTGCAAAAAAAGCTATGGGATGATGGGAGCAGATGTGTGCTTATGGATGCAAAAAAGAGGAATGTGTTTTCAGAAGACCTGACAAAATGCAACTGTTTTCATGTAACTTTCATCTTCCTCTGGTTCTGTTACCATTGCTGCCCCTCACCTGCAGAAGGACCTGTTCCAGCAGCCTGGTCCTCGAGCTGAGTTTCCGGAGATCCGTGACTGCCTGGACACAGGGATGTTGGACACACTCAGTATTCTTTGGGGAAGGCCTTTTCCTTTCACCCTTGCATTCATTCCATGGTTGCCCCTTAAAGCTGCTTCTGTGCCACGGTCTAACAGACTCTTGAAGAGATGCCAGTTCTATAGAGAACTGAGTGATGCAGCCCAATCCCACCCCAAGGGAGACTTTTTGTCTCCTTAAATGGCTTCTGTATGGACAAAGCCAATTCCCCCCCTCCCCATACCGCCTTTTACTCATGGATATTTGTTCACAAAGCTTGTGGGCCCACAGATTGCATCAGTCACTCTGCTTGGCTTTTGAGACCTGAGGCTATCATTGCCTTCTGTTGGGGGCTTCAGATGTAGGTGCTTAATGGACATCCCCTCCCACCCACACACACATGGAAGATTAGGGTCAGAGTAAGCAACCCTTTTCCTTTCCTCATCATTGTCAGTTGGCAGCAGCTGCTCTTTGGCTGAAGTTCTGCTTCTCTTCTTGGAGAGTCTTCCAGAGCCAGTTATCTGCTTCCAGCTGTATGACCGCAGTATGGAAAGTGCCGGCAGTTACGGCCTGAGTAGCCAGGTAAGGGAGTCAAGGGAGGAAAAGGAATGTGTAACCATCCTGGGCATCTCTAGGTCAGCTGTGGCTCTCCTCCTCTTTTCCAGGTAATTTCCATGCTCCCCAAGTGCCACAAAAATGTCTTCAATTATCTGATGGCATTTCTACGGGAACTGCTGCGACATTCTGAGAAAAACCACTTGAATTGGCATATCCTTGGTAAGCAAGACTGAACCCCCTCTGGGAGTGTAGCAGCATCTGAACTGAGGATGAGAAGAGAGGCTTTATTTGCTCTGGGATGGCTGGCAGCAGGGAGCCAGAAGGCTCCTCTTCACTTGTAGAATGGTTCTTCTCTCTGGTGTAGCATTATTCCTCACTCCCACACCAAGACTTAGTGCTCTTCAACATCTTCATAAACAATTTAGATGAGGGGATATAAGGTGAACTCATCAAATTTGCAGCCAACACCAAACTGACAGGAATAGTCAATACCCCAGAAGATAGGCTCAAGTTCCAGATGGATCTCAACAGACTTGAACCTTTCTGACAAAATGAAATTCAATGTTGAGAAAACTAAGGTTTTACACGGAGGCAAGAAAAACCAAATGCACAGGTATAGAATAGGTGGTACCTGGCTCAATAGCAGTAAATGTGACTAGGTGTCTTAGTGAGCCACCACTTAAATATGAGCCAGCAGTATGCTGCATCTGCCAACAGAGAAATAGTTTCAAGATCCCATGAAATGCTACTAACACTTAAGACTGCACTGGTAAGACTGCACTTGGAATACTGCATCCATTTCTGATCACCATGATGTTAAAAAAATGCTGAGGTCATAGAAAGAGTGCAAAGAAGAGCAGCAAAGATGATAAAGTGTCTGGAAGCTAAACCATATAATAAAGTCTTAAGGAAACTAGGTGTGATCTAGCCTAACAAAGAGAAGGATTAGAGGTAACATAATTGACTCCCAGTACCTATGTGTATGTGGGGAACTGTCATAGAGAAGAGGCAGGTAATTCTCCAAAAGAGATGAGGGCAAGACAAGAATTAACAGATAGAAAACCACCAAAACTAGATCTTACCTAGAACTAAGGAGTCAGACAGTGAGAACAATTAATCATTGGAACAGCTTGTCTCCAGAGGCTGTGGGTTCTCCATCACTGGAGGTTTAAAAAAAAGATTGGACAACCATTTCTCTGGAATGGGATAGAGTCTCCTGCTTGAGAAGGGAATTGGATAGAAGACCTCCAAGGTTGCTTCCCTCCCTTTGATTCTATGTTCTAACTATGTTGTCCTTCAGGAAGGCTGCGAGATCTGGCTCTTCCAGCAAACCCTGGTGGAAAGCTTTCCTGATCCACTGGCATTCTGTGGCTCATGTTTTGTATTCTCTGTGTGTGGTTTACTATTTGGCTCTGCTTTGATTCCTATATTGCTCTTTTAATCCAAGTGCTTTCTTGATCATTGTGCAGCCTTACATATTCAATAACTTAAATAAAGTTTGAACCCCGAAGGCCCCCTCTCCATTGCCAGCCCTGACTGCTTCCTTCTTTCTCTGGTCAGCAAGTGTGTTTGGGCCTGTCCTGCTGCATCCTCCACCTGGCCACCCAGCACCCAACACAGCTGAGAAGCAGAAGGCCCAGCAGTTCCTCCAGCACTTCCTTTCCCAGGAAGGAAGCTCACCTTGAAGGCTTGGGGGCTGTAAGATTGTCAGTGGGATTCCTGGGAAGATGCTTCAGTATATTCAGACAATTATATGCTTTATTACTTTTAAACTTTTAAAAAATAAAGATAATATTTTAAAAATATACAGGTCAGTTATGAAGAAGCAATTTCAAAAAACTAGTAGTGGGTTTTGGTATTAAAGGAGTGACTAATATGGATTCTGACTCTTCATATCCCAATTTCTATGGGAAAAACATGAGTCTCCTCCATCGTTTTTTCAACCCTAAATCAGGTTGCTTTAATTTAAATAAATGAATTATTTTAAGATATTTCCCACTCTTTGTAATTCAGACAGAACATAGCTTCTGTGAGGGCATGCAAGTGGCTGTTTTAAGGAGCTGCAAGGTAAAAAAGGAAGCAGACTCCAACCTTACCTTCCCTGCTCTCTGCCACCCAGCCACACTTCCCCTTGCCTTCATAGCCTCCATTCCAAATCACATCATGGCTGTCTTTGGCAGTTGTCCTTCTTTGGATTTCAATGTCACTGACTGTGTGAAAGCATCCATAAGGCCCGGAATTGGAAAGTCCAACCTTGGGACTCTACCTGGACATCCCTAGCCTGGCTTGGGTGCCCTCCTCCCCTCTCCTGTTTGGGCATCTCCCAAATTTAAAACGAAGTGAAAAAAAGAGACCAAAGCAGAATCATCTCCATAGGGCAGGCTAGCCCACTCTCACTGGATCTGGTGGGCCTGGAGAATGGAACTTGGGCCACCAGATCTCAGCCAAGAAGCAACACAGTCAGAGTAGTTCAGCACTCTTCTTGAGTCCATTTCTGGGCACTGCAGTGAAGAAAGGTGATCTTACGCTGCTTAAAGATTCTGAAACATGCATAAAGAGGACTATTGCGAAGATCCCATTTTTTCCCTTAAATCAAAGAGTGGGGCTCTGTTGTACCTGGAAAGAAATTGGCGTCAAAAACACTAGCATGGGGGAAAGGTGGGGAGGGGGCAGGTTTGAACAGGAAGCAAAGATAAGTTAATGGAGAGGCTGAACTCCAGGAAAGAGGAGCTAGCCTGGGGTTGTTTGCCACCAGAGAGGACACCCAGTGCTGCCAACCCACACTCCAGTCACCTTCCCCAAATTAGAGATGGATGTTAAAATAGTGTGGGAATTGTGTCAGTGCAAGAGAAAACCACTCCTATAAAAATGGTATGGTTTAACGAACTCCTGGAATTTTTGAGAGAAAGCTCATTCCCATCTCCTTATTGAGGATATTGTATGGCTGCCTATCTACCCCACTTGGCAGCAAACAAGATAAAATTTCACAGTCCATCAAAGTTGAAGCCCCTAAAGAATTTCAATAACTGTAAGCCACACACCCGTACCCCCATCGGGACTCCCATAATCCTCTGGCCCCAGTGTCAGGGGTTGGGCAACCAGCCCTTCAGGGTATGTATGTATGTATTTATTTATTTATTTGATTTGATTTGTCAATCGCTTACAAAATAATAGGCATAAGGATAAACAGTTATGAATACATGAAATGGATATATAAGAAAAATAAAAGAAACAATAGGACAGGGACGGTAGGCACTTTGGTGCGCTTATGCACGCCCCCTACAGACCTCTTAGGAAAGGGATGAGGTCAATAGTAGACAGTCTAAGGTTAAAGTTTTTGGGGTTTGGGGAAGAAACCACAGAGTCAGGTAGAGTATTCCAGACATTGACCACTCTGTTGCTAAGTCATATTTCCTGCAATCAAGTTTTTGTGCGGTTAACCTTGAGTTTGTATCTATTGCGTGCTCTTGTATTATGGTTGAAGCTGAAGTATTCATTGACTGGTAGGACATTGCAATGTATGATTTTTATATACTATACTTAGATCGGACCGAAGGCGGCATAGTTCTAGATTTTCTAGGTCTAACATTTCAAGTCTAGCAGGGTCATGGCTTGTGGGGCCACAGGGAAGGCTGGTCTGGTCAGGGCAAGGTTGCACAATGCTCCTGGGCAGAGAAGAGTCTCAGAAGAACAAAGTAATGCACAAATTGCATCCTGCCTTCTCACCACATTTCTATAAGGAGCTGAACTTATAAAACATTTCCTAGGGGATTCAAGAAAAAGGGGCTTATGACTGTTTTTCACGTTCACAACTGTTGCAGCATCCCCCTGGTCACGTGATCAGAATCCAGACACTCAGCAACTGGTTCATATCTATGATGGCTGCGCTGTCCTGGGTTCACATGATCGATCCCCTTCTGCAACCTCCTGACAAGCAAAGTCAATGGGGAAGCCAGATTCATTTAACAGCCATGTCCACTTGCTCTGCCTGGCTGTGGGCCTTGAACTCTGCAAGATGGAAACTCTGGAGCTGCTGCACTCACCTTCCTTCTGCCCTGACTTTCCAAAAGGACCAGGACTTGGCCTGAGAAGGAGTACCAGTTGCACAATACACATTAAATGCGCAATCGCATTTCCTCACATTCAATGAGGAAAAAGAAGACGACTGGAAAAATCCAAACAAAAAGCAAAAATTGAATGATAGGAAATGGAAAGAAGGACACCCAAAAGCTCATATGGGTAGTCTGGAAATCAAAAGGGAATATTGGGAGAGCTGAGATTCAGAATGTTCAAATTGGCAACGGAGGCCAAGAAGAAACAAAAGCCTTTCTTGAGCTGTTTACCAGTTTGGCCAGAGAAGGGCTTGCCTTTGCTCCAAATGCTCAAGCTTGATCTGTCAAGAAAGCTTCAGTTTGGATTCGTGCACTGTGGGGGGAATTAAGCATAGTGGCCTAAAGGGGTGAAAATCTGTCAAGGTTGGGAAAGCACAGGTATCAATTTCATTGAAAAATACTTATGTTAAAACCATAGCTTAAAATATAGAATTGAAAGTTGGTTACGGAATGCAAGAAAAGCAGTCTGATGGAAATAAAGCATGTGTAAAGTATAATGCACTCTTGACAACAGCTCAACAGTGAACACTTGAGTGAAAGAAATGTAATATCCACTGTTGCCCTGTAGTGACACTAAAGGTGTTGGACTGTGGGTGGGAATGCCCATCTACTTTTCTATCCAAAGGATGCTGTTATGGTTTGAGAACCTGAGCAATTTGGATCAATTGCATGTCACAATGAGGAGTATGAGGAATCTGTATGCTTTAGCAGAGTGTCTACCAAAGATGGGAAAGCAAGCAGAGAAATATTATGAAATGCAAAAGCTGAAAGAAAATTAAAATTGTACACTTAGGCAAGAAAAATCATTGCACAGATATAGAAGAGGTGGCACCTGCTCAGTAGCAACAACTGTGACAGGGATCTAACAGTCCTAGTGGACAACCATTTAAGTATGATCAAAGATAAGTGGGGGGGGGGGCTCCCTGGACCTAGCACAGGCTAGGAGAGGGGAGACCCCAGGCGGGAACAGTGCCTCCTGATGGCAAGGGGCGCCAATAGGACGGGAGGCGGGTCAGGGCCCGGGCCGGAAGCATGGCGTCACGACGGGCTGTCCGGAGGCCGGAAGCGGAAGCCCCACTGCCTGCGGAGACCCTGGTGGCGGCGGAGAGCAGAGAGAACGGCGGTGGCGGAGGACGACCCAGCGTCATGGCGGCGGCTCCGCCCGGCCCTGACCTGGCCCTGAGGGCACCCGGTAAGGCCACAGCCTCTGCAGGCGGCGTCGGGCCCGGCTGGCTCAGTGATGCTGCCGCTGCCGGGCCTTCCTAATCGGCGGGCGGGCGAAGTGCAGCGGTGCGGCCGACAAGGCGGCTCTCCAACGCCTGGGTGCTTTGTCGGCCGGGGGCGGAGGGCCGGTCGTCTGGGTCTCGGGAGTAAACTGCGGCCGAAAGATGGTTTCACGGTGTTCCTTTCCTTTCTTTGCAGGCTCTCCGCACCGTCTTCCTCCTGTGGCCGCCCCTGAACTCCACTGAGCCATGGGGGAGAACAGCCCTCGGAATGTCATCTACTACGAGGTGGAGGAAGATGACTTGGCTCGAGATGACAAACTGATAAGATTTGATGACCGGAATGGCCTGGCCTCCCCTTCCTCCGGGACAGTCTATGACAGGACGACCGTCCTCATTGAGCAAGACCGGGAGCCATTGGAGGAGGAGGAGGAGGAGGAGGAGGAGGAAGGGCAAGGCGGGCATCTTTTGCCTTTCTTACAGGAGGATAGATTCCACTTGATGGCTGATCATGAAGGCATCTCCCAGGGCTACGTGCAGCACATTATTTCACCAGATCAGATCCATTTAACTATCAACCCTGGTTCAACTCCCATGCCCCGGAACATTGAGGGGGCCACCCTCACTTTGCAGTCAGAGTGCCCTGAAACCAAGCTTAAAGAAGTAAGTCACCGGCTTCAATGGGAGCCTCTTTCCGAGAGTCTTCTTGAATAAGTTCTTCATTGAAAGAATGTTGGCTCTGTTAGAAAATTCTTCTGAGTGTCTTCTGGTATATCTGAGAAAATTGTTTCCTTTTGCATCTTAGGGGCTTAAAATCTGCCAAGCCTGCAACTATATAAGTTAAGGTGCCTAAATTTCCAAACCAATTTTGTTTTTCTGTGTTTTTGTGTTTATTTAATTTCTATTACTGATTGTTTCAGCCAATGACTCTGGACAACATACATCAACATAAAAACATACACTATGAGTAAAACCATTGCCATAGATGTTAATATATCTAAGAAACAGGACCTTTAACATACTGGGCACCAGGCCCAGGCACACAAGCAAATCTTCACAACCTTATAGGAGGCCAGCAGGGTCACAGTCATCCTACCCTCTAAAGGAATATTATTCCAGAAGACAGAGAGGGAAGGCACATCTAGTTCCCACCAGCCAACATTCCTTGGCTGACAGGACTTGTAACATGCCCAACTTGCCAAACTAAACTGGATGGGTAGAAACAGCTTTTGTGTGCTCTTGAGTAATGTTTTATGGTGGATATAAAAAGTCCACACACCCCTGTTAAAATACTATGTTTTTGAGATGTAAAAAAAATCAGACCAAGATTAATCATTTCAGAATTTTTTCCACCTTTAATATAGAAATAGAAATAAAATAACAGAGTTGGAAGGAACCCTGGAGGTCTTCTAGTCCAAGCCCCTGCCCAGGCAAGAAACCCTACACCGCTTCAGACAAATGGGTATCCAACATCTTTTTAAAAACTTCCAGTGTTGGAGCATTCACAACTTCTGGAGGCAAGTTGTTCCCCTGATTAATTGTTCTGTCAGAAAATTTCTCCTTAGTTTTAAGTTGCTTCTCTCCTTGATTAGTTTCCACCCATTGCTTCTTGTCCTGCCCTCATGCTTTGGAGAATAGCTTGACTCCCTCTTCTTTGTGGCAGCTCCTCAAATATTGGAATACTGCTATCATGTCTCCCCTATTCCTTCTTTTCATTACACTAAACATACCCAGTTCCTGCAACCGTTCTTCATATGTTTTAGCCTCCAGTTCCCTAATCATCTTTATTGCTCTTCTCTGCACTCTTTCTAGAGTCTCAACATATTGTTTTACATCATGGTGACTAAAACTGAATGCAGTATTTCAAGTGTGGCATTACCAGAGTATTATAAAGTGGTATTAACATGATCTTGATTCTGTCCTTCTATTTATGCAGCCTAGAACTGTGTTGGGTTTTTTTGGCAGCTGCTCCAAAACATTCTCAAAGATCCATCTCATCTTGGGAACCCTTTTTTTGAACTATTACCATCTGGCTGACAGTACAGAATAATAAAAACAAGGACAAATAGGCTGAAAAACAGCTTCTATCCCAGGGCAGTAGCTCTTTTGAATTTTGCTGTATAGTGCAGTGTTGGTGTGGTGTTGGGAGTTTCCGGTTCAATGGGTGAAGGGTGAAGGATGTGTGTTTGTGTTTTTTTCTTTTTAAACAAACTATTAATTATACAACTAAAATGTCAAACAAACACATACACAACACACAGAAAGAAAAAAAAAACAATTAAAAAAACTAGCAATTCTATTATCGACAGTCTATGGTTCCTTGTTTGTTATCAATATTGGTGACATATTTACAAATACATCCTATTGCGAGTATATAATTACTTCCTCTTTTACATTTTACGGTGTTTACTAATATATTTTCTATTTTTGTTCTATCCAGTCATACCAGCATTCCCACTTTTATAATATTCTGATGTTTCTTTTTCCTTAAGTGCTAAGGTTACTTTATCCATCTCTGCACAGGCTGTTATTTTCTGAATGACCATTTCCTCTGTTGGAATATCTGCTTGTTTCCAACACTGTGCAAAGGTTATTCTGGCTGCAGTAAGAATGTGCAGTGTTATATATTTGACTTTTTTTGAAATTTGTCTATTAAATATCCCCAGTAAGAAGAATTCTGGTTTTAATTCAATTTGCTCCGCCATTATTTCGTCTAACCATTTTTTTATTCTGTGCCAGTATCTTTGGGTTTCAGTGCAGGACCACCACATGTGAAAGAATGTTCCGTGTTTCTTTTTACATTTCCAGCAATTCGGATTCATGTTAGGAGACATCTTCTCAATTCTTGAGGGCGAGAGATGCCATATATAAAACATTTTATAGGCATTTTCTTTATATGTTGTTGCTTTTGTGATTTTATTGTTCCTTGTCCAGACCTTTTCCCATTCTGATAATGTAATGCTACGTCCTATGTTTCTACTCCAAGCTATCATGTTGCCTTTGACTACTACTTCTTCTAATTCTATCTCTAATAAATAATTACAAAATTTAGTTATATTTTTTTTATCTGGGCCTAATAGGATTTTATCTAATTGTTGTGGCTTAGCATAAATTCCATTTTTTTTTTCCTGACTGTATCTATTTTGAATTTGCAGGTAAGCCCACCGGTCTACTTGTAGCCCTTGTTCTTGGAGATCTTGCCATGATTTTAAAGTTCCTTGCGCATCAAGAAGGTCTTTGTATTTTATCATTTTGTTAAGATCTAGATTATTTGGATGTATCATCGCCTCCATCGTTGAGATCCAGATTGGGATTTTAAATAATGTTTTTTATTTTATTTTATTCCAATTAGCCAATAAGGAATCTCTAATTATATGTCTGTGGAAATAGTTCTGTTTGATTTTTCCAGTGTCCCATAAAAATGCATGCCACCCCCTCTGTAAGTCGTGGCCTTCTAGAAATAAGATTCTTTTATTCGATAGGTTTACTCACTCTTTCAACCAAAGTAAGGAGGCTGCACTATAGTATATTTCCCAATTTGGGAGTGCCATACCTCCTCTGCTCTTCATATCTTGCATTGCTTTTAGGTTTATCATCAGGTTTTTCCCTTGCCAAATAAATTTGGTGATTATCTTGTTAAGTTCCACAAGGTAATTTTTATGTATTTTTATTGGTATTGTTTGGAATAAGTAAATAAATTTGGGCAGAATGTTCATTTTTATAGTGGCAATCCTCCCTAGTAAGGAGATTTGCAATTTGACCCATATCTCTCAATCTTTTTTGACTTGCTGTAGTAGTTTATTATAATTATTTTCCATTAGGGTTTTGCATTGAGCCGTCAACCAAATTCCTAAGTATTTAACTTTTTTTATTATTTGTAATCCCATTATCCTTTCCAATTTTAATTTGTTTTTCTGTTAAAGTTTTAGTTATTAATTTCGTTTTTTCTCTATTGATTTTAAGTCCTGCAACTTCCCCAAATTGATCTAACTCTTTCAATAGTTCTTGACCTGTTTCAATTGGTTCCTCTATAAAAAAAACCATATCATCCGCAAATGACTGGAATTTATATTCTTCTTTCTTAATTTTTAGTCCTTTTATTCCTGGGTTCTGTCTAATTCGTGTAAGCAATGTTTCCAAAGATAATATGAAGAGCAGGGGAGATAATGGACATCCCTGCCTAACTCCTTTCTCTATTTTTATTGAGCGCGTGTACTCTCCATTAATTATAATATTCGCTTTTTGTGAATCGTAAATTGTAGTCACAATGTTTTCAAATTTAGTGCCTAAATTCATGTAAATTTGTTGGATTAGGAATTGCCAATTTAGGTTGTCAAAGGCCTTCTGTGCATCCAAGAATACAAGAGCTATTTGTTTTTCCGGGTGGGATTCATACCCTGTTTCTCCAACAATATGGCCTCCCCCAGTAGGAAGTCCCAGCATGTTTTATAGGCATGAAATGAAATTAAGCCCCTCCCTCCAAATTAAGGCCTATATTAAAACATGCGAAATGGGGGGGAATGGTGGGGGGGCTTGCCGTTAGGAAGTACTTTTGTTGCACACCAGATATGGTGCTGCCTGCGTTGACCCCGATACGAACTGCCCCACCAACGCTGAGGTCAACATCCAAGCCATCGCTGCCCGCCCACCCGAAGATGCAAGGGGGGGAATTAAGTCACCCCTGAAAAGACAGCCTAGCCATTTTTTCGGGGCTCAAAAAAAAATAAGACCCGGCCTTATTATATGAGAAACACGGTAGTATTCCAAAACATTTAATACTATTCTCAAATTATTCCTAATTTTTCTATTGGGAAGGAATCCGTTTTGATCTTTATGTATATATTCATTCAATATTTTTTAAATCTATTTGCTATAATTGTGGTAAATATTTTATAATCAGTATTTAACAGGGAAATTGGTCTATAGTTTTGTATAAGCCGTAAGTCTGAGTCTTCTTTCGGAATCAACGATATCAGTGTCTCCTTCCATGAATCCGGCATTCTTGCTGCAAGTAGGACCTCATTATATACTTCCATCATGAGAGGTCCTATTAGTTCTCCTATTTTCTTATAAAGTTCCCCTGGTATCCCATCAGGTCCTGGGGTTTTATTGTTCTTTTGGTTTTCTATTGCTGTTTTTAACTCAGGCCACATAATGTCTCTAGTTAACATTTCCTTCATCTCCTCCTTGATTATTTTATCTTTAGTAATACCCAAATAATTTCTTATCATGTCCTCGTTTACCTCCTTTTTATAAAGATCTTCAAAAAATTTACATGCAATTTCTTTTTCTTGTTCTATTCCTTGTTGGGCATCCCCATTTTCATCTATTAGTTGGTAGATCAATCTTTTTTGTTTTTCTTTTTTAAGTTTGTAGGCCAACTACCTTCCTGGTTTATTGGCCTGTTCAAAGAATATCTGTCTAGCTGTATTCAACTTTGAAACCATTCCCTCTTGTTCGATTAAATTTAATTTATGTTTATTTATTATCCTCTCATTTTTCAATTTACAATCTTTTGGGGTGTTTTGTAACTGAATTTCTAATTCTTTGATTCTTTGTTCTAATTTATTTTGTTGGGCATATTTTTCTTTATTTCTTTTAGCGGTGTATGATATCGTTGTGCCTCTTATTATTGCCTTCATTGTATCCCAAATATTCTGTTT